CTCCTCCCCCCCCTCCTGCTCCTACCTCTGGATCTAGAGATTCAGCCATGATGGACAGAGCTATGACAAGCGGCACGGAAGGACAGGATACAATGGGTGTTCCAGCTGTACAAGGAGGACCAAGTACTACAGGCGGCTCGGGGATGTTAGGAGACACAGACACGCTGGGAGGAGCACACAGTTTAGGGAACTCGGGAGCACAGGGAAGCCCAGTCACGACGAGAGGAGTGACTCAAGCGAGTGTGCAAGTCACTTTGGGAAGAGGCGACCCTGGATATAGGATGAGCAACACAGACGGTGGTCCGGTAACACCGGGGGGGTCTGGGACAACAGGTGTCCAGTCCTCGTTGGGGGAACCAGGTACGATAGGTGTACCGGGTACAAGGGGAACACCAAGTACGACGGGTGTTCCTGCTGTGAGAGGAGACCCAGGGTCAATACATGTCACATGTACGACGGCTGTATCAGGCAAAATGGGCTCCCCAGACACAGGCGGAATGGCAGGATCTACAGGTAATGGGAAAAATTTCTCCCCCGATCCTTCAGCACACTCCTCTGCCCCCCCTGATCCTCTGTTTTCGAACTCTACCATCCCAGCCAATAATACCCCTAATTCCAGTCAAAGACTTCAACGACCTCCACCCATTTCCGTCTCTAGTACCAATCATCAGAGCCAGCCAGCCCCCCCGTTCAAAGAGATGGGTAGACTGAGGGTCTCTCAATCCAACCCAGGCTCTGACAAGCGTACTCTCACTCAGGCCAACGCCACCTCTGCAAGAGGCAGAGGGAGAGGTCGCGCTAATTCTAGGCTGTCCTCCTCCTCTACGACACAATTAGGTTCTTCCTCATCTCCAAGAGCCGTGAGCATAGGTGCAACTATTATTATAGACTCCACCGCTGTATCACCCACCAAGTATGCAAGGAGGAGTTTTCCTGACTCCAACAATGTAAATAGTGAAGGCGGAAACTTAGTATCCCGTCAGGTTTCATCCTTCGAAAACAGCGCAATTCAAGCAGAAGTCTCACTGGCAGGGGGCCTAGGTGGGTCTTCTGGCACTTCCTTCCAGCAGACAAGGGATGGTATGAATACCATCCCGACGTCAATCCACCAACAAGCAGAACGAGTGGTACACGTCCTCTTTCCACTGATTCTCAGACTGGCAGCACTGCAAACTGAGTTGATGATCATCCCAACTCAAGCTGGTCCTCTGAAGATGGCCACCTGGGAGTTAGCCGAGCCACCCACATCTACACTGGCAATTCAGTTGGTCCGTCCATATTTGGACAAACGATATGACGTCAGACTGGTAGCCTCGTACAGCATGATGCGGATAGGACCTATCCGTTCTTCGACAGACAAGCCCACCCTTTTTTACGGGGTAGTGATGGGCGTTCGTCCAACCTCTGTGAACCCTCTTCCAGACATTGATAGTGGTCTCTATTGTATTCAGGCTGATATGCTGAAATCCTATAATCCTAGGGACTATGCCATGATCGAGGTTCACGATGGTCTCAAAGGGGACTGTTTGCAAGACATGAATTCGCAATTACCTGCAGATAGGAAACTGCAGAGCAAATTTATGCTAAACTTGTTGAGAGGTCCTTGGGACGTGGACGCTCAAACGGAGCAGCCTGTCGAGCCTATCCGAGTAATGGCAAACCAACGAGGCAACCATGCCTCCTCCCAAGCTTAGGATAGACTCATGGAACGTCAGAGGCATTGACGACAGTAACCGCAGAAAGAAGAAAGCGAGATTGAAGACTTGGATTCACAGAAAACGGATTAACATTATGATGCTACAGGAAACTAAGCTTAATCAAGATAAGATTGATAACCTAGGAAGGTGGTGGGTTGGTAACCAATGGTTGGCACCCGCCGATGGTAGTAAGGGTGGAGTAGCGATACTAATCCATAAGGATTTGAACTATGAGCTAATCGATAGCTTCTCTGATTCTCTAGGACGATGGGTTTGGGTTAAAATCCTTATTGAGGGAGAGGAATGGGCTTTCGTATCTGTGTATGCCTCTACTGATTCCAAGGAAAAGTATCATTTTCTAGAACAGATTCCCAACTGTTTTCCAGATGTGGACCACTTGGTTGTTGGGGGGGACTGGAATATAGCTATTGACCCCTCAATGGATTCATCCAATGGCCAAGTTAATGACCAGGAATGCCGCCGCTTGAAAACCTTCTTGAGAGAACAGGACCTAGTGGACGCTTACCGTGCTATTTATCCGGACGAACAGGAATTTACCTGGATCTCCTCCTCATCCACAGAACAAAGACAAATCGCCGACAAAAGATTGGACTACTGGTTCGTCAGGAAATCAATATGGGACAGGGTGTTAGCCACCCAAATACATACTGATCCCCTCTCAGATCACTACCCCATTTCTTTGGACATGACAATTGGGTCGGTCGATGAAGTCTCCAAAGACCTCTTCAGACTGAGTCCCCACATCATGGATGACGAGGGGGTTCGGAAATGGATAAGTACTTTTTGGACTGAATGGAAAGAAGAACAATCACAATGCTCTTCCACTCATGATTGGTTTGACATGGGCATCCAACAAACCTCCAAGATGTTGGCTTCTTTCTCCCGGATAAAGGCAATGGAACGCGCAGTCAAAGAACGATCCTTCATGCACAAGGTAAGATATGCAGAACGACAGTCGGGGGTGTACCCCTCACAAGATTGGTATTGGATGGAACAGCGGAACATGTGGATGGACAGATGGAGAGATTTTCATATAGCAAGAGAGGAAGAGTGGCAGAATCATGCAAAGGTTTCCAAAATTCTAGATGGAGATAGAATGACAAGGGTGTTCTTTAATAATGCGACGAAACCAAAGGGTCAGTCCATTATGAAAGAATTATTACACCCCTTTGACCCTTCGATCCCGATTGCCCAAGAACCCGTTCAGATAAGCAACCATGCTAGAATCTTTTATGAAAATCTCTTATCTACTGAAAAACCGATAGGTGCTCCAATAGTGGGCCCCGATGAAGAAGACAAGTTGTGGAGCAACTTTGGCCAAATCATTACTGCACATGAGAAAGAACTGTTGGACCAAGAGCTTGCTTTAGAAGAGCTAACTAGTGCCCGCCTAAGCATGACCATAGGGAAATGTCCCGGGCCCGATGGCCTGCCAATAGAATTCTACTCTAGTACATGGGGATTTCTTAGACCCATACTGCTGGAGCTTTTCAATGCGGTAATCAAAGGTTCCAAGCTCAGCAAATACATGATGGAAGGAGCCATTGTTTTCTTGCACAAAAAGAACGATAAGAGAGATATTCGTAACTGGAGACCTATTACACTTTTGAACGCCTCAGGGAAGATCCTAACCAAGGCACTATCAAGAAGAATTACAAATTTTCTACCATCACTTGTCCACCCAGATCAGTCAGGTTTTGTTAAAGGCAGACTGATTCTTGACATTGTGATGACTATCATGCAAGCCATGGAAGTGATTGGAGTCCGCAGATACTCCCATGTGATTCTCCTCATAGACTTTGAAAAAGGCTATGACAGAGTCAATTGGGATTTCGTTCTGGAAACCCTCATGAGGAGGGGCTTTGGGATTGTTTTCAGACGATGGGTGAAAATGTTTTATCTGGACTCAATTGCATCAGTGGTAACCAACGGTAATAAATATTTTCATTTCACCTTGTCTCGTTCTCTCAGACAAGGCTGCCCTCTAGCCCCTCTGCTCTATGTAATACAACAAGACGTCCTCCTTTCAATGATCAGAAGTAATGAGGAAATCCGGGGACTGAACATTCTTGCTAATTACCAACTGAAATCATCGGCATTGGCTGATGATCTGTCGGTGGTTTCAGTAAATTCACCATCCTCTCTGTTGGCAGTTAAAGGAACGTTGGATTTGTTTGGCAAAGCCTCAGAGGCCAAGGTCAATTGGAATAAGTCTGTGGCAATCTCTAGGGACGACAGGCCTCTGGGGAGTGATATTGGGATGAAGGTCAAGAGTAGAGACCACTCGGAACGTTTCTTGGGTATAGAGATCTCATATGAGGACAACTCGCGGAAGCAAAATCAGATAATTGAAGACAGAATACTGAAAAGGCTCACTACCTGGTCAAAGGTGTGGTCTGTCTCCTTATTCGGTAGGGCAATGGTGGTTAATACCATGGTCCTTTCAACTATCTGGTACATACTGTCTATTGTAAGTCTTGCCCCTACAACAGGTAAGAGACTCAGACAAGAGATCACSAAATATCTGTGGAAAGGGACTATAGAAAGTGGCAAAGCAATCCCAAAGGTGGCGTGGTGGAAAATAACACAGAAAAGGAATGCGGGAGGTCTTGGTCTGCTGGACTTGGATTTGCAAAACAAAGCACTTCTCATTAAATGGGTTGTGAGGATATCGATCTTGGATTCTGATCGCCCGTGGATTAAAATGGCTATGCATATTCTTTCGCAAGAATGAGGAATAGCCAATCAAGAAGATATCTGGCCCTGCTTTTTCATTAAAGGTTTTTTAAACAAACGCATTAAATCGAAAGTTTGGAAACCAATCTTGGCAGCCTGGCAATCTTTGATGCCTTATATTATCAACTGACCTCAAACCTACCAGGAAATATCAGTACAGCCTATTTTTGACAACCCAGTGATCAGAACCAGCAATGGCCTGATTCTCACAGTCACCTCAAGTTCAGCAGACTTTGGCAGAACCTGGTGCCAAAAGGGAGTGTCCCAGATTAGACACTTATGGAACACAGAACACAAAAGATGTTTCACCGCGGCGGAACTACGCTCCAAACAGGGTAGCCTGCGGAATGTGGAGTCCCACCTTGCCGATATTTTGGAAGCCATCCCTGTCGCCTGGAAAGAGAGTCTGTCCAACGGAAGAATGCAGAAAGATACATGGGCGGTAACTACTGAAGAACCATCCAAGTATTGGAGGATCAAGGAACCTCTTGACGACCAAAGTACTCTTTGTGAAGAATGGACAAGCGCCATCGATGGGTTGGCCAAAATGAAAGTCCCTCCAGTTGTCTTAACTAATGATTCATTGAGACAAATCTTGGTGCAGTCTAAGGTAAAACAGATCAAAGGTAAGACAATCTTGACACATACGATCCAGATGCATGGCACGCCTCTACTTGACTGCAAGATTAACCCGGTTGCTTGGGGTTGGGTAACTCCTACCTTGAAGGAACAACAATGTACTCTTCTGGATTACTGTGTCTCCACAGGCTACAGTCTGGGTGCAAAGCCATACAAACTCTCCATGTCCAATCTGCAGGCCTGGGAGGACTTTTCTGAGTTGAACGACATACCTAAGGTTCGTCACGCAGACTGCTTCGGAATAGGTAAGCACCTCAAAACCTTTCCAATGGTTAAACATGCCAGCCTTCTCTGGCTCAGCTTTATGCTGAATCTACCAACAGGTAAATGGTGCGTACAGCGAGGAATGAGAATCAGCATGTTCTGTCCATCATGTCAACCTCCGGCCATCGAAGATATCCCACATATCTGGTGGGACTGTCCGTCTGCCAATGAATTCTGGTCTTGGTGGAAGGAGATATGGACCTTAGCATATCAAACGGACCTTGTCTCCCAAGTGTGGTGCAAAGGAACCATTCTGACAGGCAACTTCAGAAGGGTAACCAAGGCCACTCGTCMAGCAGAAGTGGCTAGAGCACTGGGTCTGTGGCTTCTATGGCGTAAAAGGAATGTCTACCTTTTTGAAGGACGAGTATGTAGTATATCCTCTCTCAAGTTCCAGATGCTCTCTGAGCTTAAACTCACCATGCAGGCGGATTGGAAACGGATAAACAAGTCACACAAAACGGATGAACAGAAGTCCATACCCTTTAAGAAACTGTGGGGATCTCTTTTCTGTTGGGCGGTTCCCTCTGTCAAAAAGAACCTAGTATTCAGTGCCTTGTTATCTTCAGGAGGGAAACCAAGATGCCTAATATTAAATTAGTCCTTCTACATTATAGTTGTAGAATGTTTTTATAATTAAATTTTTCTTCCT